TCAAACATATATTTTATTCAAAAATAAAAACATTATCACTTTCTCAAAATCACATAAAGCCATATTATAATATCGACTGAGATAAAGAAGAAAATGAAATATTAAAATCATGATGCATCTCGCTGCATTGCGCGAGTACGCTTCTAGTATATATATATATATATATATATATATATATATATATATGTCATTTGTTGTACATATATCATATGCAGAAATTCATTTATATATATATACATATATATATATATATATATATAGAGAGAGAGAGAGAGAGATTGGTTATTATACAACCCATCACATTTGTATAGCCAATACAACTCAATCTCAACCGTCTATTTAATTTGACGAACATGTGATTTCATATAAATTTTGATTGTATTCTAATATAAAGTATTGATCATAATTAATGAACCATATTCATATTTAATATTCAAATCATAATAAATGAACTTTCATCAATCCCATAAATATCTCAATTAATTGGGTTGCATTGGTTGTACAAAAGGATATTGTTGCATTTGAAATATATATTCTCTCTCTCTCTCAAGGTATTTATTCGTGATCTCTTTTATATTTTTTGTGATTTAAGCATTATTATTTTTTTATTTTTTACAACATTTGAAATAAATGTGATTTAGTTTTTCATTTAAAATATTTACTTTATTAAAGTAATTTATTTAAAAAACATTACAATTTTCATCAAAAATCACGTATGATATTCACAATTAATTGACGTTATTTTCCTTAAAAAAATCAATAACTTTCAACAATGTATCTCACATACACACATATATGTGTACATATATTGTTTATTGTAGAAAAAAAATGTAAGTTATCTACAATAATAACTATGATATGTGTAAATTATGAATTACGTTTTGAATTACATATTAACTTATACATTTAAAATGTATTTTGCTACACATCACATCACATCTGAGCTTAATAGCCATTGCATATAATTTACATTGTTACATCTTTATGGACCCAACCCAACCCAACAAGTGCCACAAGACAAGTTGCAATTATTGTAAAGTTAAAAACATATGGAACAAATTACACCCTTGAACAAACATGAGTAGCCATTCCATGTACTTTACAATCACGCCGCATAGATACGAAAATCGAGACTTATTTGATATTTTTAACACAAAAATAACAAATTCTAAAAGGACATGTTTCGATCTGACACTCAAGCATCAAACGACCATTATTATCAAGATTACAAAAAAGACACACATACTCACATGTTGTCTTTCTTCGAACATACATTAATGGATGTTTGTGATGAGAAGACTTGTATCTTCTCTTCTTCTCCACCCCGACATTTGCATACAAATCAATTCGATTAATGCAATGTAGGTGAAATGAATTCTTGCATTTGTGACAATGATAGAGTGGGGACTTGGGGTGCATTTCCTCCTCGCATATATCACAATAGAAATCTTCGGGATGATCTTCGACCGGGGGATACGTCAATGGGATTTCATGTCCTTTGCAATACCTATGAGTAAGTAACTGAGGAGACCGTATTGCACAATACATGTCTAGTTGGAAATTACAAGCTTTGCAAGCAAAACTTATACCMGTAWATRTTYTGTTACATGCCTTACAASSTTGGTTGGGATCCATGACTTGGGTAAGAGGATGTTTGTGAGATTTATGTATGATGGTGTTGGGTAAAAATCCACAATTCACATCCAAGTAGAACTTGCAAGTTTCACATTTGTAGACAAACTTGTTGCCTTCGCTAAAACAACCATTGCATCTATGAAGGTGCTTATCTTCATTGGTGTCTACCAAATCAAGTGGATGATCTGGGTGAAGATGATGTTCTAATGTGAGCGGTAATTCGGCACAATATTTGTGAAGGGTAAATGAACATCCATCTTTGCAAGTATAATATGGAAGGGAGAGGGGTCGTACACATCCATTACATACCTCTATTGGATCATCACAATTAATGTCGGGCATGTTGTTACCTCGAGGTTCAACTCTAAGATTCAATGGATGACCATGACTCCAATGGCTAATTTCTATTGCACCATCATCATCTAAAGATACCTTCTCCGAATGAAGAAGCTTTAGTGGATCTGTGAATGCATGTGACATGGGAAATTGCATAAAATCATTTGTGCGTCCTTTAGCAGTATAAGTATCTGGAGCATTGCTGAAACGATATATTCAATTTAGAAGAAGCATTCACATAAAAGTAAAAACAAAAATCAGAAAAGAAAAAGAAAAAGTTTGACCTTGGAATGGAAGGTTGCTCTGCGTTTAAGGCACATTTAATGTGGGCAAAGTATCTACAGTTTGCACAATGATACAACCAACCGTTTTTTCGGATGAGTTTGTTGCAGAACTCGCAGTAATAAAAATAATTATAAAAATTATCCGGGAGTGAATAGACGAGAACGAGAGGATGATTAGGATGGTGGGGTAGATCAATGGTGGGGGCTAAGGAAGCACAAGTCTTGTGGAGCCAAAAATCACAACTCTCACATTGATAGAATAAGTCTTCATCCTTAGCTTGACAAGCATCACAACGGAATGAAGCAGATCTTGATTGAAGGGTTAAAGTGTGTTGTGGGTGACCTTCATGTTTAAACTCGATCAATGCTTCCTCTTTGAGTGCAACAGCAAGACCACATTTCGTGCATGCATCAAARTCACAACTCATACACCAATAGCTAAAACCCTTCACCAGTCCTCGACTATCGCACACGTCACAGATCCAATTGTTACTATCGCGAGCAACGAGCATAAGAGGATGGAAGGGATGCAAATGGTGATTGATAACCGGTGCTAGGTTTGCACATATCTCATGCAAAAACTGAGAACACAAAGTGCAACCATATACACAGCCACCTAATATGGGTTCTCGACATCCATAACAACAAATGAGTTGTGTCATTTCATCAGTAACACCTACAATTGTCTCCCAATTTTCGATCAGCTTCAATGAATGTTCTTCATGACTAAAGTGTTTAATCTCACTCATTCTCTCCTCGTATATGATATATCAATGAAACTACAGATTTATTTCATTAATTAGATACAAAAGGGCATCCCTTACCTTTAAAAGGATGAGGGAGGAAGGCATTTGGATGCATGACTGCATCAATGTTGCTTTTGGCTTTTGGATGTCCCTGCTAGAAGCCAAGAATAATGTTGCATCAATGCATCATCAGGATATAGCTTGCCTGTTAATTGTATATGCCTTCAATTCAAAGAAAGCAACAAGACAATTGAATATATAATATAAAATATATAATAATATAATTAAGTCAAAAACTATAAAAGTATAAATCGTAATAATTAAAAATATTTTTTCACAGTATATATAATATATAATAATTAAGTCAAAAATTATTCAATATTAGACTCATTTTGAAGGTATTAACGAGACGACTATAATGGTGTAATTTGTTAAAATAAAAATGTATTTTTTAAACATGTTTTAATTGATATACGATTATGTATGTTAAAAATTAGGGGCCCAAAATTTTTTAATATATATAATAATAGTTCAAAAAAATTAGTAAATATAAGACACATAAAAAATTTAGTATCTAATATGATAAGAAAATATTTTGGTACTATATTAACTATTAAAGACCCAAACATATATGAATTAAATATATTGGAAATAATATATAACAACATCTCGTCGCTATAACTTGCGGCGGAAACATGTCATCCCTAAAAGGTGCATCGTCAAAGCTCATTTTTTTTGTAGTGATCCTCAACAAGTACGGAAAAAAAATCAATAAATATTTTTCATTAGTATAAAATTGAGTAAAAGAAATGATAATAATTTACTAAGAAAAGAAATCTTAGTAACAATAAATATGTGTTATTTTGATATAAAAAGAGAATTCGTGTGAAAGAAGTAATCATGAGGGTCAATAAGATCAATAACAGAGAAGGTTATCAAAGTTTTCTAGACAAGTAGACAAATGATGATCAATTAGAATATGAAAGAAAAGATGATCCATTGTGATCCAATAAGAATAAATAATGAATTAAACATATAATACGCAAGCTCAACAAATGATTGTTTGAGCACTTAAATAGAATCTTGTGGTGTGGTGAAATCCCAATAAAAAAATACATAAGTCAAACAATTGATGAAAATATTTAAATTATATTTTCCTTCTTTTCTTGCTCAACTATAATAAGATGTTAAGATTAAAAGTTTATGGAATATGACATATATAAGAGACATTACTAAATACATCTACTAGAAAAAAGTTATTGATTAATCACAAAATCATGAAACACGTCATAAATTATAAGAACAATAAATTGATTGTCAAACGATAGTAAAATATTTTATGTAGATACAAAAATAGATAACAATAGTCAACAAAAACAATTAAAACAAGATAACCAAATAAAAATAGTCAATAAAGCAGAAATTGATAAAAATATCTAACAAAAATATATGACAAGATCTTAATATTGAATTGTTGAAGCACGAAAACAGTCAAGCATATAAAAATAGCAATAGCCAATATCCTTGGACTTTGTTGGAGATAAAAAAAATTGAGAGATAATAAACAATAGCATATAATGAATGACCAATTAATTTTTTTTTATTTTCTTCTCCAATGTAATTAGTTGATATACTTTTGAACCCTTATTATCTACTAAATTCTTTTTGTCTCTTATTATATGTTACAGGTTTTTGTGTTTCTTTAATTTATTAAATTCTTTTAGACTACTATTGTATTTAAGGAGAAAAATTTGGGCCCCTGATATTTTTGGGCCTTGGGCGTGCACCTGTGCCGCCCTCCCCCAGGGACGGCCTTGCAAGTTACAATTTGATCAAATGGTGTGCTGACATGAAAATATCTAGATTTAATATGAATAAATCTATTGAGTTGTCTCTGATACAAATGTCAAGCACGTTGTAAGCTCCAATAGACTAATTTTTAGCAAATTAGTCAAACCTGGATCACTTGCATCAGGAGGTCAGTCTGTTCATGATATGGAAGCATTCATGATCTCTATCAACTATCATAATGTTTCTATGCCCTATTTGACTTTTATCTCTTCCCTTCTTCCTGTTTGCTCTCTGTAATATCTTCTATGACTCTACCTCTGCCAAGCATGCATATGTATGACATTATAAGTCTCTTTTTAAATATTATTTGCTTTATTAATTAGGGTCACATTGTAAAAGGAGAAATCAGACATAATATAATTCTTGAGCAAATCCCACCACAGAAGCAATCATGCTATGGGATTTTTTTTTCTTTTTGCAAATTCAACTGGATAAAGCAATTGAAGTAATTTATCACATGATTAGAAGGAGCATTTTACATGTTAAAGAAGACTAAGCCTTACAGCTTACTCTACTAATGTGGTATAAATCTTTAGAGCCCTTAACAAAAAGTTAAACCAATATAATGCAATGGGTTTTCAGAAGGGGGTATGCTTTCTACTTAAATCTGTTTATGAGATGTGAGTACATGGACCGACTTTCTGATTACGGGATTTTGCTGATGCTTGCAAAACTAATAAATTGATGAAACTTTCTCATCGTTATTTCTAATCATAAATCAAATATTGGATTCTCCAATCTTTCCTCATGTATTTAGTGTTGGGGTGGAGCCAGGATTTAGAACCATGGGGAGCACCGAACATAAATAAATAAAATTAATCAAAAATTAATATTAATTTTTCTTGGAGCTCAATAACAAACGAAGGTAACTTGAAATAACATTAACAACCGTCTTAATTCGACTTCAAAAACAAAAGTCATCTAATGTTTAACAAATAACAAAAGTTCTCTTTTTGTATGTAGTGAAAATTGTTGTATCTATGGCTGTAATGTTCCACTTTATGAAGCCATTGGGTTTGATGCCTGTATTCTTTTGGAATATGCTGGTTTGAACCCTTGTGGTGGGCTGCGCTCAGATAGCATTCCAAAAGCTGGTTGCCCTGTCGTGGTATTGCATATAAATCACCTTGAAGACAAGTTCAATTAATTCCCCCCCCCCCCAAAGTTGTTAAACCTGGTTTATGCACATATGCCAATGCAAAGAAATGGATGATTAACTACAATTGCTGTGACAAGAAATCTTATGGGACCTCCTTTTAAATCATCAATATTGTTTATTTTTCCTTCTGTAGAATTTACGTCAAACACTTGATGATCTGACACGTAATGGGTTTTCAGTAGCAAGTCATTTGATCTCTGATGCTGCCAGCATAGTCTGTCAGTCGTATCTATATTGCTCATTTTAGTTGCTTAATTGTATTACTTCCTATTATTTCTGTCGAGATAGAGTATATGGAAACATTACTGTTATTTCTGTTTGATATCCTGCAAGTGGAAACGACATGTGGATCCCTTCTTTATGAGCTTCAGGTWTTCTTCTAGAGCATTCTAATTTCTACCTCATGGCATGGTATTSCTCAATCCCAAACACCACCTTAATATAACTTCAACATTGGACTAATAAATATAATGTTTTTTCTTAAAATTAAAAGTATGTTCTTTACAATGAAACAATAATTTAATAAAATGCTAAAGCTTTATCTCATTAATGACTTCATTTTATTTTATTTGTTTTTTTAGGGTTTAGGGTTTATTATATTGCCAAGTTTAGTCCATTAAGAAGATTTATTTGCTATTTTGTTCACAACACAACAATCTTTTTATGATACACTGATAGTCCACAGAATGACTTCGTTAAAAGCATCTCGAAAGAGAGGTTCTGTAAAAATGGTATTTCTTATAAATTTTATCGTTACTAATAGTTCTTATAAGACTATCTTCAACCATAACAAAAAAACACAGTGCAATAGTGTCTTTTTATACAATGAAATGTTTTTCATCTCCAACCATACTAAAAAAACTTTTAATATCATAACAAAATTATATATTTTTTTTATTATATTACTAAGAGAGAGGATCAAACAAGAATAATACCTATTTAAAAAAAGAGAATTATTTTGGGTCAATCATTTCATTAAACAAAACCTTCTTAAAAATCGTCCAAGAAGACATGTATGTCATTTGTTGTACATATATTATATGCAGAAATTTATATATATATATATATAGAGAGAGAGAGAGAGAGAGAGAGAGATAGATTGGTTATTATACAACGCTTCACATTTGCATAGTCAATACAACTCAATCTCAACCGTCCATTTAATTTGATGAACATGTGATTTCATAGAAGTTTTGATTGTTTACTATTATTAAGTATTGATCATAATTAATGAACCATATTCATCTTTCATAAATATTCAAATCATAATAAATGAACTCTCATCATTCCCATAAATATCCCAATTAATTGGGTTACATTAGTTGTACAAATGGACATGGTTGTATTTGAAATATTCTCTCTCTCTCTCTCTCTCTCTCTCTATATATATATATATATATAATTTAATAAATTTAAATAAGGTATTCATTCATGATCTTTTTTATATTTTTTGTGATTTAAGCATTTTTTATATTATTTTTTACAGCATTTGAAATAAATGTGATTTAGTTTTTCATTTAAAATATTTCCTTTATTAAAGTAGTTTATTTAAAAAAAAATTACAATTTTCATCGAAAATCACGTATGATATTCACAATTAATTGACGTTATTTTCCTTAAAAAAATTAGTAACTTTCAATAATGTATCTCACACACACACACACACATATATGTGTACATATATTGTTTATAGTAGAAATAAATGTATGTTATCTACGATAATAACTATGATATGTGTAAATTATGAATTACGTTTTGAATTACATATGAACTTATACATTTTAAATGTATTTTGCTACACATCACATCTCATCTAAGCTTAATAGCCATTGCATATAATTTACATTGTTACATCTTTATGGACCCAACCCAACAAGTGCCACAGGACAAGTTGCAATTATTGTAAAGTTAAAATATATGTAACAAATTACACCCTTGAACAAACATGAGTAGCCATTCCATGTACTTTACTATCATGCCGCATAGATACGAAAACGAGACTTTCTGATATTTTAATAACAAGAATAACAAATTCTAAAAGGACATGTTTCGATCTGACACTCAAGCATCAAACCACCATTAATATCAAGATTACAAAAAGGACACACATACTCACATGTTGTCTTTCTTCGAACACACATTAATGGATGTTTGTGATGAGAAGACTCGATTATAGCCTTCTCCCACCCGACGACATTCGCATACAAATCAATTTGATTAATGCAATCCAGGTGAAATGAATTTTTGCATTTGTGACAATGATAGAGTGGGAGCTTGGGGTGCATTTCCTTCTCACATATATCACAATAAAAATCTTCGGGATGATCTTCGACCGGGGGATACGTCAATGGGATTTCATGTCCTTTGCAATACCTATGAGTAAGTAATTGAGGAGACCGTATTGCACAATACATGTCTAGTTGGAAATTACAAGCTTTGCAAGCAAAACTTATACCCGTAAATGTTTTGTCACATGCCTCACAAGCTTGGTTGGGATCCATGACTTGGGTAAGAGGATGTTTGTGAGATTTATGTATGATGGTGTTGGGTAAAAATCCACAATTTACATCCAAGTAGAACTTGCAAGTTTCACATTTGTAGACAAACTTGTTGCCTCTGCTAAAACAACCGTTGCAGCTATAGAAGTGCTCATCTTCACTGGTGTCTACCAAATCAAGTGGATGATCTGGGTGAAGATGATGTTCTAATGTGAGCGGTAATTCGGCACAATATTTGTGGAGGGTAAATGAACATCCATCTTTGCAATTGTAGTATGGAAGGGAGAGGGGTCGTACACATCCATAACATACCTCTATTGGATCATCACAATTAATTTCGGGCATGTTGTTACCTTGAGGTTCAACGCTAAGATTCAATGGATGACCATGACTCCAATGGCTAATTTCTATTGCACCATCATCGTCTAAAGATACCTTCTCCGAATGAAGAAACTTTAGTGGATCTGTGAATGCATGTGACATGGGAAATTGCATAAAATCGTTTTTGCGTTCTTCAGCAGTATAAGTATCTGGAGCATTGCTGAAATGATATATTCAATTTAGAAGAAACATTCACATAAAAGTAAAAACAAAAATCAGAAAAGAAAAAGAAAAAGTTTGACCTTGGAATGGAAGGTTGCTCTGCGTTTAARGCRCATTTAATGTGGGCAAAGTATCTACAGTTTGCACAATGATACAACCAACCGTTTTTTAGGATGACTTTGTTGCAGAACTCGCAGTAATAAAGAAAATTATAAAAATTATCCGGGAGTGAATAGACGAGAACGAGAGGATGATTACGATGGTGGGGTAGATCAATGGTGGTGGCTAAGGAAGCACAAGTCTTGTGGAGCCAAAAATCACAACTATCACATTGATAGAACAAGTCTTCATCCTTAGCTTGACAAGCATCACAACGGA